CATTCTTGCAACTTTTCTACAGGTCTGAAATTATGACCAAAAAATGTTTTTTAAGAACAGTATTGTTTCGGGCCGGCCCGGTGGCGCACTGCTACAGTGCGCTGCTTGGCGCTCCCGCCGAGGGTTCGGATCCCACATACAGACCGGTTCCCGCTCACTGGCTGAGCGAGGTGCGGGCGCAGCACCGAGGGTTGTGATCCCGTTGCCGGTCCCGGTCCCGGTCCGGTACGGGCGCGACACTGAGGGTTGTGATCCATTGCCAGACACGAAAAAAGAGACAAAAAGGAAAAAAAAAAAAAAAGAACAGTATTGTTTCTTCTGCAAAACAATACACAAACTTTGTGAGGCTGGCACTAGGTCTAATTTATTCCCTCCCCTCCTTTCCTTTACATCAGTCCCATAATAATCTTTAAAAGTGGACATTTGTTGAACATTTCTGCTGGGCGCTACTCTAAAGGTTTTACATAAATTATTTAATTTAATCCTATCAACAACACGATGAAGTGCGTGTTATTATTATTCCTGTTTCACAGATGAGGAGACCAAGTCTTAAAGGGATAATGTAACTTGCTTTAGATCACCAAGCTAGTAAGAAGTGAAGCCACAGTTTAAACCCACAAGACCTGACCCTAAAGCTTGTGTCATGATCCTCGGTCTAGGACCTCACAATCTCTCATTTGGACTACTGTGAGAACCTCTGGTCTTGACTCCCTTAAAACTGTCTCCCAAATATTTAAATTGCCAATCTGACCATATCAGTCATTAATATGTTGATAAGTTTGGTCTGTTCACAGCAGGATAAAGTGTACTTCTCGGTTAGCATACTACATGCACTTAGTGACCACACCTCTTTCTCCAGCCTGTTCTCCACATCCCTTTAAACTTCAGCAACACCAAACTGCCTGTAGCTCTATACAGTGCCTTGTTGCTTCTCCTTTGTGCCTTTGCTCATGTAGTTCCTTCTGCCTTGAATGCCATTCTCCTCACTCCTTATTCTCTAACCTGGCTCAATCCTCCTCATCCTGAAGATTTAGCCCAGGCCTTACTCGCTCCAGAGAGCGCTTAGCTAGTTAACTGACTACTGCAGGCTAGTTTAGGAACATCCCTCCCTCCTCACTGCCTCTATCATATTGTTTGCGTAGCTCTATCACTGTACAGGCCACACAGTTTCATAATTATGCCAACGTCTGTCAGCATCTCACCCTTCCCAAACTTTTCTTCCTAAACCAACCCTAATTTTGTTAGGTTCCTCTCTTCCACCTGTGCTTCAGAGGAGGCTGACCCTATCCCTAGCTCAAGGAGTGAATCATGATTAGTCTAAGTCAATTCCCCTGTTATTGGTTTAGGATGGACATTAAGACTAAAGTTGGCCCAATCATATTAAAGGAAGGATTTATATTCCACAGTTGGGTGAATGGCTTCCCTTGGCCCTCTCCGGCTGACTTTTACTAAGGGAAGCAGGTAGTCCTGGCTTCCTCTGACAGTCTTGCACTCAGGACAGAAATAAGCTTTAAGATAATAATTTTTCTCTGGTTATTTTTTGTTTATTTATTTTTTAGTGGTTGGCCATTAAGGGAATCCGAACTCTTGACTTTGCTGTTCTCAGCCCCATGTTCTCCCAACTGAGCTAACTGGCCAGGACTCCCGTTTTTTAAAGGTGAATAATTTGGTTTTAGCTTTATCAGTGGTATTCTCTTTCTTAGACCATTATTCATGGGTACCTGAGCAATTTTTTACCTCTTTATGTATCTTAAATATTTCATTTTTAAATGGGGTATATAATTCCAATAAAAGGCTTTATTTTAGCAACAACAAAAAAAAAAAAGTTCTATTGTTGTTTCCATTTATGACTGTCCAAAAATATCTTGATTAAAATTAGGTTTTACCTTCTAGAATTAAAACATTTTATGAGTAAAAAAATAACTTTTCATTCAAAATAAAGTGTGAATTCTGTGAAATTCCAATACCTCAGAAATGTAAAGATCAGCTTGTTTCAATAACTCTCCAATAATTAGAACAGTTGAAGTAGTACCATCTCCTGTGATGTCATCCTGAGCTGTTGCTACTTTTGCTATCAAGGAAGCTGTTGGGTGTTGAATTTGCTGGAAAAAGTAAGCAACAGATTAAAAAAGAGAGAGGATGAGATAAAGAAGTAGGCTACCCAAAACAAGATAACTAAGGGTCAACAGTAAAATTAAGAAATGAAATAAGATTCATTTACAAGTTTACCAGTTTTATATTATCAATACTTAGTAAATGTCAAGTCCAAAATTTAAATATTTAGAAGTATGAGGTTTGAACATTTTATAAAAGTCTTTGCTTCAGAATGCAGTGACATTTCCAAAATAAGATTAAATCCCCCAATCTCAAAGATGAATACATCCACTAAGATTGCAAAGCATTTTTTATTTTTCCATGATTACAAAAACTATAATGCTGTGTCTTTAAAAGACATTATTAATTTGTAAGTATCCCTAAGCTATTACTTTGCCTATACAAAGATTTGAAAACAGCCAAAAAAACATTTTTTATCAAGTTTTAATTCAACAAGCATATCTCAAGACTACAGTATTTATCCGACAGCCATGGCTTAAAGATAAACAAGTTGTAATAAGTTCATAATTAATGCTTATTAAGGTTTATTAAACTTAACAGCATCAGCTTACCATTTCATGGAGCAGTACATTGCCATCTTTGGTGAGTTTGATGTCACCTGCACCAGAAACAAGCCTGTTCAGAGAATAGTGATGTTATTAATCTCACAGGGCAAGAGCCAAGCAAGGCACTCCCAGTGTTTGCCACCCCACTATCCTTCATACAGGGAACTGAGCTTGGAAAACTTCCATTGTACCACTGGGAAATACCATGGTAATTATAACCATTTGCAGCTCACGGAATCATTTCTCCCCAGATGGACTGCTATGGCAATTTCATTCCAAATGGAACATTTACAGCTTTAAAGGTAAGTGCAGTTGATGGGTTATGAACAGCGCTTTGGTCAAAAAAGAGTACTTGGAAGTCTACAAAGCACAAATTTGCAAATCTCCTTTTCTTAAAATTTTGTTTCTTATGGGCCAGCCCGGTGGCGCACTGGAGAGTGCGCTGCTTGGGAGTGTGGCGGCGCTCCCGCCGAGGGTTCGGATCCCATGTGGAGACCGGTTCCCGCTCATTGGCTGAGTGCGGTGCGGGCGCAACACCGAGGGTTGCGATCCCGTTGCCGGTCCCCGGTATGGGTGCGACACCGAAGGTTGCAATCCCGTTACCGGTCAGTAAAAAAGACAAAAAGGAAAAAAAAAATTTTGTTTCTTACTTTGGTAAATTCTACCATTTATTCAATCGCCCAACTTAGTTTTCCTCATCCCTCAAATTTATTAGATTACCAAATTCTGTCAATTCTACAACCTAAATATCTCTTAATCTACCCCTTTCTCTCCATTTCTACTGTCATCATCACCTCTACCTTGAACTACTTAGACAGCATCCTGATATCTCCAAATTTTAATATGCCCTCCACACTACATTAAATTATCTTTCTAGAAGGCACTTTGACTCAGTCAGTTCCATGATAAAAAAAAAAATCCTTCAATGATTTTGTTCTCCATCATCTTCAAGATAAAATCCAAATTAATTTAGCAATGACATACTTGACCTTTCCTAATCTGGCTTTTGTCTATCTACCCTGCCTCATCTATCACCCTCCCAGAAGCAAATCTTTTGGTTCTCTATTACACACCGTGTTTTCTTTACACTTATATTGGATTAACACCATTGGACTTTCTTATCCCTGAAATTACCTAGAAGGCCTTCACTCCCTTCTCCAAGTGGTGAATGTTTTTTCTTTCTTTAAGACTCTGATCAAACATCATCTGTTATTCAAAAGGCTTTTCCTTCGAAGAACCCATCAGTAATTGGTCCCTTTCCTCAGTAGAATCATATGCACCTATATATAATTAGCACATCTGTCTCTACCACATCTCCTTAAGAACAGAAACTGTATCTTGGTCATTTCTGTGTTCTCAGCATCTAGTACGTAAGTGCCCTCTTTTACCATTAATACTAATTTATTTTGCTTATTCCTGTGAGGATGGATGTATTTCTATTATTCCTTTTTGCCCTCACCACAGTCTCTTTCCCTCACTCTTGACTAAAGAAAATGGTGCTTAATAGATTTTTGCTAAAAGGATGAATAGATATGAAGAAGTAGGCACAGAGCTTTCAAGTAACTTGCCTAAGTACTCACAGCTAGAATTTACGGAACTTGGATTTGAACCCATGGTTGCCTGGTTCCAAAGCCCATTCCCCTCCCACTACTGCCCGCTGCCACACAAAAACAAAATTATGTCACAGAGTAATGGCCCGTGGCTCACTTGGGAGAGTGTGGGGCTGACAACACCAAGTCAAGGGTTAAGATGCCCTTACCGGTTATCTTTACAAAAAAAAAAAAAAAAAAAAAAGAACCTTAACGAAAAGGGGGGCAGGGGTGGGGGAGTCACAGCTTAACACATGGGCCCTCGGGGAGGCTTTTCTCGTCCTGCGCCACCAGGTAGAGATGTCCTCAGGGCAAGAATGAGAATGAGGGAAACCAGGCCCACAGGAGCGACCGCATCGCTCTAACGACTTCGCCGAACGTCTGCCTCAGTGAGCGCCCCCACACCCAGCGACCGCCCGGCGTCCTAACCGCCACTCCAACCGCCGCCTCACATTTTCAGGGTGCCCTTAGGGCCCAGATTGGTCCGCAGCACATCCTGCAGCCCTCGGGCGGCGCATATATTGACCGCCAAGGCAGCCTGGGCCCGCGCCACCTCGGCCTTGGAGTTTACCGCCTTTACCACAGCCATCGACAGACGATTGGGGGCAAATAACGGCCCCAGCCACGACTCTCAGAGGAAACCCCACCGCCACGCCCCACTCTCCTCTGCCAATCATCGCCCAGACCGGAAGTGACGTCCTCAGGCCTCGCTGGGACAGAAGCCAGAATAGCCTCGGGTCTGGTCACAAAGATGTCATCCTCCGCCTCTGCTCGGACTCCGGCAGGGAAGCGAGTGGTGAATCAGGACGAACTGCGACGGTTGATGAAGGAGAAGCAGCGTCAGAGCACTAACCGGAAACGGATAGAATCTCCATTCGCCAAGTACAACCGTTTGGGGCAGCTGAGTTGTGCCTTGTGTAACTCGCCGGTTAAGAGCGAGCTCCTGTGGCAGACTCATGTCCTGGGAAAGCAGCACCGAGAGAAAGTGGCCAAGCTGAAAGGCGCGAAGGAAGGCATCCAGGGTCCGTCCGTCAGTGTGGCGCCTCAGTCCGCCAAGCGGAAGGCACCGGATGCAGACGGCCGAGATGCGAAGAGAGCGAGGGCCCCCTCGGTGCCTCAGGTACTGCCTTCCACATCCGCTTTGTCCACCAACTGTGACAAAACAGGAAAGGAGTCCACTAGAGCGACTGCCAATAAGCCTTCGGGACTCGGTTTACTCCCTGATTATGAAGACGACGACGACGAGGAGGAGGAGGAGGGTGGAGAAAGAAAAGCGGAAGACGCCAACGAGCCGCGCGACGCAGAGAGCAAGGACCACTCACTTTCCTCCTCGCGGGCGGCAGCAAATAGTGTGCTGCCAGACCATTGCTTTAATATAAAAATGTTGTCTAGAGGGGAACAACTATACTTTTTTGAAGTTGTTACAACAAGCAAACGGAAAGGACATTCTTGGGGGGGAGGGGAGAGAGGGAGGAGGGCGGGAGGTGTCGGTGATGGGCCATAATAATCATATACATTGTTTATTGACAAAATAAAAATTTTTTTAAAAATAACAAAAAAATACATTTAAAACTATTTTTTGTCAAATACTTTGTGATTATACATTATGCTTTAAAATAAATCAGTGTGTAAAGCCAACAACAACAAAAAAAAATGTTGTCTCCAGGCCGAGCCCGTGGCTCACTCGGGAGAGTGCGGCGCTCCCACCGCGGGTTCGGATCCTATATAGGGTGGCCGTGCGCTTACAGCGCTCACTGGCTGAGCGAGGTGCAGCCGGTCTCAAAAAGGACAAAAGAAATAAAAATTAAAATAAGTAGGGGCCGGCCCGGTGGCGCACTGGATGGTGCGCCGCTTGGGACGCGCGGCAGCGCTCCCGTCCGAGGGTTCGGATCCCATATACAGACCGGTTCCCGCTCACTGGCTGAGCGAGGCGC